CCTATTATTATTATAGATCATCATCATTTTAGGTCTAAGGTTCTACAAATGAGTGACACCATGCAATGTTTGACTTTTTGAGCTTGGCTTTTCTCCATCCACTTCCCTACAAATGACACAATTTCATTTTTCTTTATGACTGAGTATAACGAGAGGTAAACTTTTTAACGAACACCATGCACATGTTTGGAAGTATCACAATGAAATGCCCTTGTATTATTAATGCATGATAAGTCAAGAATAAAATAATTTTTTATAAAACAAAAAACATCAAAGTAAATTTTAATAACCTTAACTTTAAAGGACAGGGAGAAAAGGGAATTAGAAATGTCATCGATTTTCCCAACTTTCATAGCAAAATCCCAAAGATTCTATTTAAAGCCAAATTCAGTTATCTTGAAAAACAGAAATTATCAGAACTTAAAGTTTAGGAATTTTTCCCACCTCCTCGCTGTTAATATCATCATTTATTAAAAGGACATTAATTTGAAAGCAACAGACCCTTCATTTCAATTCAATTTTTTTCTTCACTACATTGGAAGCAACTGACAAATCAGTCTTTGTTAAAAATACAAAGTATAAATGCAGTCCTCTTTCTGTGGAAATACAAAGTATAAATATGATTCTTTTTCATAAAACCAGGCCTATTTAGCTGTATAAATGCACAACGTCACCGCAGATGACATCCAAACACTATAAGATGTTGTGAGACAGAGAGGTGACAGTCTTCGCATTTTTAAAATGCAATGCATCACCTTCTCAAACAAAGCTATTACACAGCAACAATTTTATAATCTTTCTCAAAACCTTGTATATAATTCTGCTCATTTCCCAGAAAATATAATGAGTCCCCAAAGTTGAAGTGACCTAATTGAGAATATTGTAATAAATACAGAGATGTCCCTACCAATCTGTATCATTATCAAAACTATTGATTTGGTTCAACAAAAGGAAGAACCTGTAATACAATCATATATGTCTGGAAACAGGAAGAGTGCAATGTGAAGTAGGAAATGACAGGTGTATTCCAAATAATCCTTAAATAGCCAGCCATCTTACAGACGGTGGCAGTGCAGCAGGTGCACTGTAGAACACACGACCTGGGTGGGTGTTTGAGGGTGACTCCAGTTCTGAAAGTGTTTGCCTTTGTGAGCTAAATCATACAAATGTCATGAATGCTTGTCTCATGATATAAAAACAGTAACATCAATATCACACACACACACACACACACACACACACACACACACACCCTGTTAGGATTTCACAGCTTTAAATCTTTTTTACAAACATGTCCTCTTTTCTTTTGCCTCGAAAATATCTCTTGAAATGGTAGTAACAGGTATCAGTACTTCCACTTTGCAGATGAGAAAAGTAAAATTCACAAAGGAGAAATCATCAGTCCAAGATCACGCAGACCTAACTGCAGAGCTGAGACTTGTCCTTTTCTGATTCCACACTCACTGGCCAGGCAGCTGCCCTTCATACATACACTTACAAAAGCCCAGTGCTGACAGCACAATTCATTTACATGAACTGTGATGGTCCAGGCAGGAAGCACATGCCTGTGATTCTAGAACTGAGGAGGTTGAAACAGGAGTATTGTGAGTTCAAGGCCAACCTGGCATACATAGTAAGCCCGTTTCCAACAAAAAGAAAAGAAAAAAAGAAACATAAACAAAAAACATGAATTGTGGTTTTCTGAGCACCGATGGCCACTTATTTGAAAATGGAAGCTGGATTGCTGTGTGACAAGTAGGCCATGGAACGTCAAGAAAAGGAAATTTGATGTAACCATAGTGTACATATTCATCACTATGAAACAAACTCTTTTTCTATGGAATGAAAGAACTCTCAGAGAGGCTTGTTACTGTCCTCCTAGTTTCCAAAAACAAAAACTAAAAGTCACCCCACTGCTAATCTGGGTGGTTTAAGCATCTGTTCATCAGATGTAGTCCCAAAGTTTTCGTGTGAACTCTGGACGAGCTGGCCTAACGTATATACAAATGCATGTTTTGAACATCTGCTCTAAACCAGCTGCTGAGAAGCACCGAGCAAACACACGAAATGGCTGGAAAATCATGGAAGCAAAGCAAGGAGCCAGGTCCATAACAGCCACCATCTTCACAGCGAGACCAGCCGCTGAAATACATTGAGCAGTATATTCACCAGCATTTATGCTGGTATTTGTGAGCAAGAAATAATGGATGACTGGGATCATTTTAGAATTTATTTGATGTTTTCCAATGGCACCTGGTTTAGGGACAAACTCAAGTGCGATGCAAGTAAGTAAAGGGAAGAACTTAATGCAAATGTGGTTTTTTTTTAAATGAAAGAGCATATGAAGACCACTCTTGGAAGCAAGACTCCTGGACACAATAGAAACTGTACAAATCCCAAGTAGGCTATCTGCATTTTAGAACCTAAGCAGAAAGGTGCAACACAATGCTCTGTGGTTCGTGGCAAGAGTTTACCACCACTGGCAAACTGGAAGGGTATAAAAGTGTTTTAAGAGTCATATTCAAATCCCTTTGCAATTATGCACACTACAGTAACATTGCTTCCAATGGCGACATTTAAAAACTTCATCTTAATATTGACCTTGTCAATATATTTAAAAGATAGGGCACATAGAATTTCAGACTCTCCAATTTTCTCCCTGAATCAGACTTCGTTAAAACAGCAACAGATTCAAGCAGACTTAAGATCCAGCATCAAGTACTCTCTGTTCTAACAAGACTGTAACTATGGATGAAAATTATGGAAAAAAAAAAGCAAGAAAAAAAATAACTCAAATGGACCAACACATTAAGAGAAATATAGCTTCCACCCTTATAAGGACTTTTGAACTTCTAACTAATGAGCCATGGGACATGGTCGTTTAAAAGAAATCACACATAATATATTATAGTTAATCATGATAATATTTTCAGAGTTTATCCTCAGGGAAAGTAGTAACACGATAATTCTCTCTGCCATCATTCCGCAGTTGTCAGCATAAAATTAGTTACAGAACAATGCCACTGCTAGAATTTATAAATTTACAAAACTAACAGTGAACCATTCAAACATGAAAATTTAATGACAACTGAATAAAAACAGAGTAATAACTATATCAGCGTCATATATTAAGGAGAGGGTTAAATATGCTTTGCATGGTCCTGGCTACAGAACATTTCCATGTTTGTATAAAGATGAAGTAAGAAAATGTAAAATTACCACATTGGCCCACAGCTGTTAAGGAACACACAGTTTTGAATTTTACAATATGAACAGAATTATCAGCAATGTCCTCGAGCCAGTTTATCTCTAGCCTGTAAAATCAATTGTTAACTTACAAGGAATCTTGCCAGCCAGTTAATAGACCACTCAAGCCAACCACAGTGGGAGCATTTACACCATGGGAATTGACAAACATCCCAAATCAGGCTTTTCCCCTTTCCTCTCCCCCCCGCCCCCCCAAACACACACACAAAAAGGACCCAAGGCAATTTGTCTTCGCTAAGCAAATGCATGCATACAGATGATACTAAGAAAATAAGGCGGGGCATTTTTGGTATCCACGTAAGTTTCCCTGGCAGCAGTTCTGAATTGAAAACCCATCTCTGAAAATTTTACAGATACAAATACTAGAGAGGTAAAACTTTAGCAGTGAAGATGGAAAAAGACAATTTTAAGTGGAAGACGGAACATGGAAACTTACTTGTAATGCACTATGAAAATGGGCTGGCAAAAAAAACACATGGCAGGACATACACTTATTTGAAAGTAGAGAGAGTCATGGGGGAAGGAATACGTGAAACTGCATGTGTTGTGTAGCCAAATGAAGAGTTAGAAGGCATGTGTGCCTCTGTATCAGGTATATTCAACATAAAAACTTTATTTAAAAAATGGACATAATATACTATAATTTCCTTAGTATTACCATTGATTTTTATATCTACCTAGTATACAAAGTACTAAAACAGCCCAAATAACTACCACAAATAAAACAATGCCCAGCATTTGATTACCACTGAAATCCATAGGTTTTTCCCACACCTCTAACTGTGTCTGTCTGTGAGAAACCAAAGTCAAAAACTTCCATGGTGAGCCCATGTCTTTGAAGAAAGCTGCAACTCCAGAGCCAAACAGGACAGCAATTGACAGCAACTATGCATCATCCAGTGTGAGGTTTAGGACTATGGTTGTAAGAACTGGTGCCTATGAAACATAAGTTGGCTCTTTTGGTACCAGTGATAAGTTGTTATTAAGTGGTTTTCCTTTTCTTTGCTATTTTGTTTTTTTGCTACTGGGGTTTGAACTCAGGGCCTTCATCATGAGCCACTCCACCAGCCCTATTTTTGTGAAGGGTTTTTTGAGATAGGGTCTTACAAACTATTTGACCAGGCTGGCTTCGAACCATGATCCTCCTGATCTCTGACTCCTGAGTAGCTAGGATTACAGGCGTGAGGCACTGGTGCCCGGCCACCATTTTTTAATATTCACTTGAAAGTTTGTTTGTTTCGTTTGTGTGGTACTGGGAATCAAACCCAAGGCCTCATACACACTAGGCAAACAATAAACCACTGAGCTTCACCGCCCAGCCTAGAAAGCTAATTCTTAAAATAACACCTTAAAGTTCTGGAAAAGAATGTAACTTTGTTCAAGTTACACTTGAACAAAGACAAGCCATTTCCCTATAATGTCTTTATATCTAAGTTGTTAAAAAGAAAAATTATAATACGGGGGAGGAGCGCGGATAAAGGAGAACGATGGAGGGGTGAATTCAACTATGATATATTTTATTGTAAGAACTTTTGTAAATGTCACAATGTACACCCAGCACAGCAATGAATAATAAAAAAAAATATACACATATAAAGAAAAATTAAATTTTATAGATAGACGTGTGTGTACAATGATTGACCTATATCTCATATTCGGTCAGAAAGGAAACTATCAAATGAGAATAACTGCCCCTAAGTACCAAACTAGGGAATACAGTGTGAATAACCAACCTTTATTGTTTTCCTCTTCATATGGGTATTCATTCATCCATTTGACTTTAGAGTCACATTGATCCTACAAGATAAACCCAAAAAGATGTAGTGAGAATAAGTTCTACAAAATTGATAATGTTCTCTGATTGGAAGAAAAAAGTCTTAATCCTACAGTAATTTAAGCTCTTGATTACTGGAGTGACATGATAAAAACAATAGTTGAGAAATGTCTTGCTTCGTTGTTTATTTTCCACTTATTCTTTAACAGCCACATAGCGGCAAAATGTAGGAATGACGGGAAAGAGGAAGGAACACCAGCTATGACACGATGACAATGCTGTGGGTACAAGATGACAAAGTCAGAGATAAATATGAAGGAGGAATGAAAAGAAAGGGGTACGATAAGAGAGAAGGCTGAAGAAAAAATAGCAAAAGTTGTTGTATGTGAGTTTACTACAGGAAAGAGAATTCACAACTAAGAACTTTTTAAAGAAATGTTTTAATAAGGAAATGATCACTTTTCCCTTTACAACCAATACAAATGTGCAGAAGAATTAAAATGAATAAATTTTGTCGACTCCATGTTGGCGAATCCCCAAGTACTTTTATAAAAATTGATGTCAATCCATGTCACTTCTTAAAAATTAAAATAAATATTTATGCAGTTTGTAAAACGTCCCAAATCTCTAGGACAACTTGGATTTCACCAAACATCATTAAATATTCCTGGACTGGAGAATTCCGACTACAATAGGCCATTTGCCCCACTTGGATGTATCTTACAATTCTTTCTATTTATTCTCTCAGCATTACATAACGTGGGTCAGAATTTCCATCTCATGAGGAAAATTTTCTTTGGCATTCAGTTGAGCCAGTTTATTAGGCACAGTTGCCTTCCCTTTTTTTGGTTTGGAATTATGTTCAAGAGGGGACACGCCTTGGGATTCTGTGCCCTGTGCCAATGTCTATGTACCATAGCAATGGGCTTGGTTTCCTGTCTATATGTTTTCCACACATTTGGACAGAGCAAGAATTTTCTCACTCATAAGGCCTTAAGGGAAACATAGCAAAATGTTGATTTTGAAACATAGCAAAATGTTGATTCTCTCTGTCTGTCTGTCTGTCTCCACACACATCAAAACATAACCCCTAATGTTGCAACATTCTATTAAAAAATAATTATTATACTGGCAGACCAGAAATATTCTCTTGAAATTCAGAGATCAATTCTTCCATTTTACATTATGAAACCTTTAAAGTACTTAAAATTCATCTAAGACACACCTTGCCATGCTGGCTCATGCCTGTTATCTGAGCTCCTAGGGAGGTGGAGATCAAGAGGACTGTGGTTCAAGGCTAGCCTGGGCAAAAACACAAGACTCTGTCAGAAAAAACTAAAGCAAAAAGGGCTGGCCTTTCTAGTTTTCAAAATATATCTAACCCAATTGGTCCCACTTCCTAGAGAAATGTACAAGATACTTCAAAACTGGCTTCAAATTTTTATTTTATTTTATTTTAATTTTTTGATGGTACTGGGGTATGAACCCATGACCTCAGTCATGCTAGGTAGGCTCTCTACCACTCAAGCCATTCTACCATCCCTGATTTGTGTTGGGTATTTTTTGAGATAGGGCCTCACAAACTATTTGCCCAAAGTGGCTCAAATTAGGGCCTCCTGATCTCTGCATCCAGAGTAGCGAGGATTATGGGAGTGAGCCACCAGTGCCCGACTCAAACTTACATTTTGTTTCATTACACTTCAAAATGTGGCTCTGCGGTTTTTTTTTTCTCATATTTAAATATGTAGTCAGTCCTCCATATCTCTAAGGTTCTGCATCTATAGATTCAACCAACTGTTGATCAAAAATAGTTAAAAAAAAAAATTTCGTCTGCACCAAATATGTATAGACCTTGTTTCTTATCATTTTTCCCTAAACAGTGCAGTATGACACCTATTTGCCTAGCATTTACATGGTACTAGGTGCTGTAAGTAATCTAGAGATAATTTAAAATACACAGGAGGGGGGTACATGGTTACATGGAAATACACTGCAATTCTATATAGTGGACTTCACTATTCTCAGATCTTGGTATCCATGGAGGTTCCTGGAACAAACCCTCCTCAGATACTGAGGAACAACTATACTATGATTTTAACCATATTAATGTTTCATCTAAAATTCTTCATAATAGATTGCAGTAATACATTAGTATTTGCTCCCTAATTTTTGTCTAATAATTTATGATTTTTATTACCATAACTCTTACACAACCTTCCATGTGAATCTTCTATGAACCAGGATCTCTGCTAGCCTGGATGATACCTTTGTGCAACCAGGAAAGATGTCTGCTGTGCACAGACACAGAGTCTAACCAGGAGGAGGACCAGGAAGGGGCACCCACTGTAGATCCCAAGCATGGTAAGAGAACTCCTCAGCCAGGCACCCTCTTCCTCCACCACTGTACTCAGCTGTGCCCACTACTATTTCTGCCAGAAGAAGGAAAAGCTACCACAATGCCATTCTCATCCTCAGAGTGTAAAAAATTTGAGGAGACCAGTAAACATTTGTGGAATGAATAAATGAAGCTAGTAATGAAAAACAGAAAAAAAAAATCAAATACACAAAGCTCCTTTCTACATATATTACCTAAGTAATTTAGGCTTTATATGATCTACATTATAGGGACAATTCATCTATTAAACTAATCATTAAATTATGTGAGCTATGCATAACACAGTATCACATATTTGGAATTAAAAATACCCTAATGCTATCATTTATTCTGAAAGCAGTTCTGTGAGTTGAACACTTGAATCTACTTGGTCATGATGAAACTGATCAGAGGTATATTTTAGATAAAGTCAGGGTCCTTATGAAATGGATATTTCAGTCCCAAGTTCTAGTACATGACTCTTCATGGCTTATCTTAGCATGTAGCCTTGCAATCACCTACAATTTAAATGCATACTTCTGTATGCTCTGAAGCTGGAGGGGGCCTGGTACAAGATTAATTTTTGTTTTCCATCATTTTGAACTCCTAAGAGTGTTCAATATCCATCTTTTGATGGATCACCTCCATACAATACTTATAGCAGCACAAATGAAGGTAAGTAAATGAAACAGCTTAGAGTTCTGTAGTCTCACCTGGCATCGGCTGGCTGGGTGGCCTTAAACAACTCATTCAGCATCATCAAGGCCCAACTTTCTTCTCTACAGAAACAGGGGCAATAATAATTCCTGCTTTGTCTTCCCTGCCTACCCAAGTGAAGTAATATTTATACAGTAATCTCTTAAAATCTTCAGAGCCATACATATAGGAATTGTTACTCTTCAACCAATGGCCAAAATATTTAACAAGGAAAAGAAAGATTTCCCTAAATGGCACCCAAATGACAGTACAGATGAATCTCTGGTTTTATTCATGCTCGGGGGCCTTAAAGTTGTTCCCAAATCCCTACCAAAACCACACCATGATAGAAAAAATAGGAAAACTGCAATTTCCAATAACAGCTATCCTCTCACCAATTTCCAAATTAAATGTACTGAGCTCTGCCAAATATGTTTTGAAATTATCCAGTAAATCTTCCCAGAGCACAGGCATTTTAAATGAAGGCCAGTGACCTCATTAAAAAGCTCATCACACATGGTGGTGGTACTCACTTCCCTGGCTTCAAAGAATATTCTCAAATGTCATTAGGTAAAGGACAGCAAAGGATTAGTCACATATTTCAGTATCAAAGACATGAGAAATAAGAACAGGTGTAAACCTCTATTTTGGAAAGAATTTTAAATTTGCTTTTAAACAAAAATATCACTACTTGGAAGCCTATGTGAGGGGTAAGAAATTCCAGTTTGTAGCCATTTCTTTTTGGTAGCTACAAGCAATACAGAATGGTTTTCTAAGTTCTTCACTTTCCCTTTTATTCTTTCTTAAAGTTTCCACACATGATCCTCCAGCTTCCTTTAGAATTGAAAGACAGTACACCCTGGATAACAGAAATGGCCTTGGCTATAATGAGAATGGATGCTGTCCACTTTAAGAAATAAGGAGTTGTAATAACTACTTCATGGGTACAGATATTATGTTAGTCTACGATAGCAGGTTGTTGGCTCTTCATAACATCTTAAGTGATCTATTAGCAAGTTCTCATCTTTAAAAGTTACTGTTTAATATATTTAAGTACTTCAAGACTGGGCTAGGTACAGTGGCTCATACCTGTAATCCCACCTACTCTAAAGACAGAAATCAGGATTATTGCAGTTCAAGGCCTGCCCAAGAAAAAAATCAGCAAGACCCCCATCTCGATCAGTTAGCCAGGTGTGCACCTGCTCCCCAGGAAGACATTAGTATAAGGATCTCAATCTGAGGTCAGCCTCAAATCCTATCTGAAAAAATAACTAAAGCAAAAAGGGATGAAGGCAAGGATCAAATGACAGAGCACCTGCATAATAAGCATGAAGCCAAGAGTTCAAATCTCAATGCTGTCAAAAGAAATGGGTAAATAAATAGATATAAGTAAATACTTCAGGACAAAATGTCCACTTGCTGTTAGTTCCTCTAGACCTGCCTTGATGGGTCTTTAAAGAGAGACAGAGAAGCACAATTTAGGAGTGTTTACAGATACCTGACTAGTCAGAATGTGACACTCTCTCCCTAAAGGTAACTTAGCTGTTCTGTTCAAGCAAATTGGATTCTGGTCCTTCTAGAGAAACCCCATTTGGAATTCTGTCTTCCAGACTGAGGTTCACAAATCACTGCTTCATTAACTGTTATCTTGTGTTTGCCAGTACTGATAAAAAAGAAAAAAAAATCAAGTAATAAAGATATACATACTCAATTCAGTTACCATAACCTTAAAAAACAATGAGGAAACTTCACGTGTGGGCCTTGTGTGACTAGCTCTGGGATATTATATAACAGGTCCCAGATTCCCTTGCCCCAAGTACCAAGGCTTCTACCATGTAAGTAGATTTTTTTTTATCTGAAGTTATTTCTGTTTCATCTGTCACAGTCAGTTATCTTGGGAACTAAAAATATTTGAAGGTTAATCTAAATATTTCTGGAGATAAATGCAAATCT